ACGCTCGCTGGGTGTTGGAAGCACATCTGCTGCGGCCCAGGCGCGCGGCGGACACAGATGGCGGCCCGAGTCCCAGGAAACGGTAACGTTAGCACAGTGAGTGGTCATAAGAGAAATAAGTCAGCGGCAAGGGGAGGCCATGGGAAGCTTCTGTTACTTGAGCCCGGGGTTAAGGGTAGTGCAAGGACTGGCGGGGGCGGTGACTTTTCAGGGAGAGCCGCCTGCAGGAGGGACGGCTGCTTCCCGCTGTGCTTCCCGCCGTGCGGCGTCGGGGTGTCTTGACCCCCCCCCCCCATCTGCTGAGCCCTCAGTTCTGAGGCCGAGGCCGCGATAAGGACGAGGAAACTTCTGCTTCCACTTCCTGAGAACAGTGTGTCGTGTCAATTGAGAACAACAGAGTCGCTTGGAGACGTTTTAATCGGAGGAGGAACCGGTCTCGTGAGCCTGGAGGGACGTTGGTTCACGTGAGCGGAGGACAGTGCTGGCCCCTTCGTGTTGTCCCTGCGGGGCGTTGTCTGGGTTAGCGAATGCTGGCTGAATGGTGGGGCCATCGAGCGTCACCGTCATCCCCACCGGGAGTGAGTGCCAGCGGCAGCTGCCCGAGCGCCCGCTCCCTTAGGTTTGGGGCATCGAATCCCTTCCCTCGGCTCACCCTGTGGCAGCGACTCAGCTGTGCCCCTGACCAGCAGCCTCACCGGGGAACTTGTTAGAATTTCGGATTCCTGCCCGGCCAGCCTGGCTCAGTGGTTGAGCGTCGACCTATGTAAGAACCAGGAGGTCAGGGTTCGATTCCCGGTCAGGGCTCCTGCCCGGGTTGCTGGCTCGATCCCCAGTGTGGGGCGTGCAGGAGGCAGCCGGTCCATGATTCTCTCATCTTTGATGTTTCTCTCCCTTTCCCTCTCCCTTCCCCTCTGACATCAATTAAAAAAAAAAAAAGAGAGGGAAGACACGTTTGTTTTTAGAGACACGTCCCGGCCTCCGGACGGGGCAGGACCTTCCTCCCTGCTGCCTGTGGTGCCAGGCGACCCTTCCTTACACAGGGGGGCTCTGCCAGCGGGGAGCGCCCAGGGAGTGCCTGGCCACGAGTTAGGGGACCCCAGTGCTCAGTGCCGCCCCTCCACGTGGGGCAGGGCTGCC